TGATCTTACAACGCTTGACTTATTGAGATATAATACTCCTGAATCTTAAATTTGACTTATTGACGATTATAATATTTCCTTGATCTTAAGCTTGACTTATTGAAGGATAATCAATACATCCCTTTTTGGGAATCTTTGGTGGCCCCTTTTGAAAATCTTTTTATTGGAAGGAAATTTAATTAATAATCCCCTTCGATCTAAACTGACTTAGAAGGGGATATTATACCACCTGACTTCTTGAACTTATTGAAAGGAATAATAACCCTTGATCTTAAAAGCTTGACTTATTGAAGGATATATAACCCTTGATCTTAGCTTGATTATTGAATGGAAATGGATTAACTCCTTTATATTAAGCTTGTCAAATTGAAGGATATGATGACTCTTTGAACTTTAATGATATGTTAACTTCTTGATCTTGAGCTTGACTAACTGAAGGAAATAATAACTTATTTATCTTAAAGGTGACAAATTGAATGGTATGATAACTCCTTAACCTTAAGCTTGACTTAATTTGAAGGAATATGAAAAATAACTTCCTTTTTATCCTAAGCTTAAAAAAAAACCCAACATTTAAAGAATAATTAAATTAAAATTTTCCCTTTTTTAATCTAAAATTGAATTAAGGGATAATGCAAACTCCTGATCTTGTGCTTGACAATTGAAGGTATATGGAAACCATGGAACTTCAGTCGGACTATTAAAGAATAGATAACGCTTGATCTTAAGCTGAAAATAATGAAGATAATGAAATATTCCTTAAACCTTAAAGCTTGACTTAATTGAAGGATACTGGATTGACCTTTGAACTTAAATGATAATGAATAACTCCTTGCATCCTTTGAGCTTGACTAACTGAAGGAAATGAAGAATAAAACTTTGTTTATCTTAAGGGCCCTTTGGAAAACTTTTTATTTTAAGGGATATGAAAAAAATAACTCCTTTTTTGGAATCTTGGTTTTGGGCCTTTGGACTTTAATTGAAGGATATGTTAAAAAAAATTTCAAATTGCAATCTTTTAACTTGACTATTAAGGAAATGAAAACTCCTTTTCTTAAATAATTTATGATGGATATTGATAACTCCTTGATCTTTAGCTGAATAAATGAAAGGATATAATAACTCATTTTATCTTACCGCTTGTCCTTTTTTAAGGATTGATAACTCTTAATCTTAAGCTTTGGAACTAATTGGAATGATCATGAAATTTATCTTTTTTTTGGATCCTTTTAAGCTTTGACCTTTATTTTCAAGGATATGCCTAACCCTCCTTGGAAATCCTTTTTTAAGCTTGAACACCCCTTTAAAAATTGGAAAAAATTTTAAGAATACTCCCATTCCTAAAAGCCCCGAACAACTTGGGAGAGTGAACCTGTCACTAAGCTGGGACTAAATGAAGGATATGAAACCCTTCTAAATTGGACTAATTGAAGCATATGATATTCGCTGCTTGATCTTAAACTTGACTAATTAAAGGAAATGATAACTCCTTTATCTTGAGCTTGACTTATTTAAGGATATAATAACTCTTTTATCTTATGCTTGACTTATTTAAGGAAAATGATGGGGGGTTACTCCCTTTGAATCTTCTAGCTTGAAATCCCTTTTTTTATTTTAAGGAATTTATAAAAATAAACTTTTTTTCTTAAAAACCTGGGACTAAAATGAAATTTGATATGATAACTCTTGGATTTATGGCTGAACTAATGGAAGATGTGTTACCCCCATGATCTAAAGGCTTGACTCCCATTGAAGGCCCTTGATTAAATAATTTTCCCTTGAATCTTTTTTACGCCTTTGAACCCTTTAAATTTGAAAGGATACGCTTAACTCCTTGATCTTTTAGGCTTGGACTTATTTAAGGATATATAATCTTTTATTCTTGAGCTTTCGACTAATTGATAAGGATATGATAACTCCCTTGATCTTAAAAGCTTGACTTATTGGAAAGGAATAATGATGACTCTTTGAACTTTAAATGATATGATAACTCCTTGATCTTGAGGCTTTGGACTTAACTGGGAAGGCAATGGACTAACTTGTTTATCTCAAGCTTGACTAATTGAATGGTATGAAATTTAAACCCTTGCTTTCTTAAGCCTGGCACTTATGGAAGAAAAAATATGAAATACCTCCCCTTGATCTTAAAGCTTTTTTTTTTTTCCAGAAAAACCTAAAAACAAACAACTGTTTAATAGATTGACTGAATGATTTTTTCCCTCATATTTATTTTTCCAGCAGCTTTTTCAAAACACTTGTAATTTAAGAAATCCATATATCCCAAACAGTGATTTTTTATTTTACATAGCAAACAAATTAATTTGTTTTTGTTTTGAGTTAAGATGCCAAAGAAATTATATCATGAGGGTGTAAACCTTGTATTAATTGATATTGATTTTTTTTTGTATTTTCCAGCAGGTAAGAAACAACTTGTATTGATTGATAGTTGATTGTTTCATATTGATTGATTGATTGATCATTTTTTCATATTTTTCAGTAACTAACAAAAAACTGGTAATAGATTGATTTGATTGACTGATGTTTTTTTTTTTTTAATGTTTTTTTTTGTTATTCTTGCCGGCCAGGGTAAAAAAAAACTGGGCAGGAATATGAGAAAGGTATATTATTCGGCCAAAAACAGTAGATCCTGAAATGTTTAAAGCCTAAAAGACCTTTGGGAGAAAAATAATGATGGACCAGTGGTGCCCTAGATCCCTAAAAAAGAGAAATGTTCTTGGTTAATGTTTTTTTTAATTCTTAAAATATGTTAATTACATGATATACTAATGCCCACTTCAATTTTCTTTTTTTTTTTAAAAATATTAAAAAATTTTTATTTTTTTTGACTTTACACAGTTCCCTTCCTTTGGGTTATGTATAAAAATATAACATGTTTTTAAAATTCATTCCCAGGGTAGATATGATATTTTTTCTGATTTCTTCTACAATCATTATAATTTTATGTGGTCACCATATGAATATATACTGGCAGTTTTTTAAGACAAAGAACAATTGTACTAGACCCGTATTAGGGTATGCAGCTTCCCATACATAGTTTATTCATTATTTTATTCAAATTAAACATATTCAGTAAGAATTTCATGGATTTCAATGCATTTTTAAGATAAAAATAATTTACCAAAAGATGAACAAGGTATATCTTTAAAGATTTAGGTTCAAATATTTTTATCGTATACCCACGCCGATAAATTTGCGACTCCGTCATGATGTGGATAAATTTTGACATGAAGTTATTTTTGTGATACAAACAGCGTTAACACACGCTAAATGTTAGCTTTATACAAAAATATGACAACATTTATAAGTTTAATATAAACAATTCTACCTTGCTACTAGAGGAGTAAGTGAAGTAGGTTATTTTAGACAAGACATTTAATTTTTTAGTCACATTATAAGAATTAAGGTAGAAAATGAATTAATCTTCCAACAGAAGAACAAAAACGTGATTTTCATAACATCATTATTGAATTGATTATCGTTTACAAATTTCATGTAGATATGCTTTTCCTTTTTCTCTACTTTATACAGAAAGTCTTTTACAAACATAGTCAAATGAGCAGATTATTTATTCATCATATAGTTTGAAATGTGTTTAAGTAAAATACAAAATGTATATCCCAAACAGTGATTTGTCGCTCAATAACATCACTGTTTGGAGTTCAGTTTATTTATTTTAATCTTTATTTTGATAAAGGCTGAGTTCAGTCAATCAAAAATTCGGATAGTGGAACAAGACAGACTTCAATTGATGAAAGAACAAGAAAAGTAAGTTAGTTATATATTATATGCAAGGCTGGCAAAATCAATTCTCCCTATTGCCCAGGTTGTCCCACAGCCTGTAGGGACAAGTGAAGATTTTAAAGAATTAACTATGTAAATATCATACAGACAAGTTAAAAAATGCTTCTTATAGAAACAGACAAGTATGTCAAAATCAGATTTTGCCGGCTTTTAACTGCTAAATATTATGTAAATTTTATAAATTATGATAAATCCGATATTTAAAGATCATTACCACCCTCTTGATTATGGTCAGCATTGTCTAATGACTGAGCATGTATGGTACTGAAACATGGGCTTAAAAAAATCTTGATCCAACTAAAATTCACGACATCATAACTGACACATTTGCCTGTCAATTTTTTTAAATTTTTTTTTCATGCTTTGAATATTTTGCATTGGTTGGGATAAACAATGTTGCACAAGCCAAAAAGGTATGACCGAGGTTTCAAATGGTACTAAATATTTTCCCCAATTTCGCAATTTTACATCGCAAAATTTCCCAAACTTGACTAGGTACTTTTCCCAAAATGGCCAGGAAAAGGACTGGCTACATTCTACTTCTAACCATAAAAGCTATCATAACAATGTAAACTTAACAAAACATTATCAAATTGGTCTCTACAGAAAAAAAATGGGAAAAGAACTGACAGGGGTGGCATAGACCAAGAAAAATAATAGAAAATTCTGGAAAAAAATTAGTAATCTTCCTTATTCTGATTCTATTATAGAAAAATTATTGAATGTCATGGAAAGTTGAAAAAATATACTCAAAATATATGATAATGTATAAAAAACCTGAGTGAAGGCAATTTTCTTTTGCTCACAACTTTCTATATTTCTTAAGAAATTTAACCAAACTTTTACAGAACTTTTGTCACCAAGTGCTGTGAAACTGAAAGTTTTGATGAAGTTCTTAGAAAAAAATAGGACGTGTGGCATACAGCAGAAATTTCTTATGCTGCCCTTTTACCTGGGCACCAACAATCTCGAATCTAATAATCATATTTTCCTTAAGAGAAGCTTTTTAAAAGCACTGAACTTAATCGATGACTCCTATGTCAGGCATTTAACCAAACTTTTACAGAACTCTTGTCACCAAGTGCTGTGAAAGATTTGTTGTAGTCTTTTGAAAATAAAACAGGACATATTTAGATATTGAGTCTGTATTTCAGGCATGCATCTGACAAGATAAAACTTGTAGAAGAAATAAATAGTTAAAAGTAATTACTAGCTACATATGAAAAATCCATAGACAGGAAGGATCAAGTAATCTCTAATCTGACGCATGCAATGCAGAAACAGAAAGATTAAAATGAAATGATGAGAACATTCTGTGAGTGGAAGATGAAACATAATGATTTCAAGAGAGAGGTATAACTTTACATACAGATTTACCGACAGATATTTAATAAAAAACTTGGCAATAAGATTATATAAAAATGTTAAATTTCAGGCTGAAAAGTAGATTATTTTAGATTTTTATTTTTACCGGGACATAAATCATGTCTGGGACGCCTCCGGGACAGACACCTAATTTCCGGGACATTCCTGGATGAATGCTTTAATGTATAAAGCTATATTTCTGCTGCAAAAATTATAGTTTGTATTTTAAAAAATGCTTCTTCAAAATTCTTGTATGAAAGAAATATGATAGTAAACTGCCTTAAAAATGGATGAGCACATGCATGAAATAATGCACGGAAGGGCTGTGGTCGTCCTCCACCAGTTAAGCTGGAACGTTGCCATATGACCTGTACTGCGTTGGTATGACGTAAAAACAAACTTAATATTTTTCAGACATTTTGTACCATGATAGCTAAGAAGCATCATCAAAGATGTTTACAAAGAAAAGTTTGGGATGCTTGGCACTCGGTCATAGAGACAAAATGGAGGGTGCGTGTAGAAAAAGCCTGCCAGGCGAAGGCGCAAGAAGTTTGTATTCAGCTCACAAATAATTACGAGGCAAAACTGGCTTCTGTAAGTTAATTTACCAGTTATTTTGTTACCTTCTTTCCAGTTAGTGCTTTCAATGTTGTACACAAATCTTCCGACAGTAATGTATAATATTATAATCATAAAAGGTATAATTATGATGTAACATTATAAAATATGCGGAAAACATCAAAATAAGATTGTATATTGATATGCAGATTAAAAGGCTGCTAATTTGTCCCAAGACAATTAGGTTAGTATCTTAAAAAAATTTACAGCCCAACCCAAATGCTACTCTACTTCGGCTGGCTGACTTTTGATGAAATAGCAGCCTATGCTTATCATAGTCTGGAGTTCCTTCCCCTTACACTGTAGTAAAGGTAGCCAGGGAACCAGACTACCTTCCCCTTACACTACATTCTGTAGTAAATGTAGCCAGGGAACCAGTCTACCTTCCCCTTACACTATGTTCTGTAGTAAATGTAGGCAGGGAACCAGTCTACCTTCCCCTTACACTACATTCTGTAGTAAATGTAGCCAGGGAACCAGTCTACCTTCCCCTTACACTACGTTCTGTAGTAAATGTAGCCAGGGAACCAGTCTACCTTCCCCTTACACTATGTTCTGTAGTAAATGTAGCCAGGGAACCAGTCTACCTTCCCCTTACACTACATTCTGTAGTAAATGTAGGCAGGGAACCAGTCTACCTTCCCCTTACACTACGTTCTGTAGTAAATGTAGCCAGGGAACCAGTCTACCTTCCCCTTACACTACATTCTGTAGTAAATGTAGGCAGGGAACCAGTCTACCTTCCCCTTACACTACATTCTGTAGTAAATGTAGCCAGGGAACCAGTCTACCTTCCCCTTACACTACGTTCTGTAGTAAATGTAGGCAGGGAACCAGTCTACCTTCCCCTTACACTACATGTTCTGTAGTAAATGTAGCCAGGGAACCAGTCTACCTTCCCCTTAAACTATGATCTGTAGTAAATGTAGGCAGGGAACCAGTCTCCCTTCCCCTTGCACTATGTTCTGTAGTAAATGTAGCCAGGGAACCAGTCTACCTTCCACTTACACTACATTCTGTAGTAAATGAAGGCAGGGAACCAGTCTACCTTCCCCTTACACTATGTTCTGTAGTAAATGTAGGCAGGGAACCAGTCTACCTTCCCCTTACACTACATTCTGTAGTAAATGTAGGCAGGGAACCAGACTACCTTCCCCTTACACTATGTTCTGTAGTAAATGTAGGCAGGGAACCAGTCTACCTTCCCCTTACACTACATTCTGTAGTAAATATAGGCAGGGAACCAGTCTACCTTCCCCTTACACTGTAGTTAAAGTAGCCAGGGAACCAGTCTACCTTCCCCTTACACTATGATCTGTAGTAAATGTATCCAGGGAACCAGACTATACTAGGTATACCACTGTTTCTATTCTTGCTCAAAATATTTAAGTTTTACCTTCCTACCCCTTATTGTTTAAAGGGAGAATAAGTCAAATGTTTAGATCAGAGTTAATAGCATAAATTACACAATTATCATGTAACCAGCATTTGGTTCTTTTAATATTATGGGCTGAACAGGGATGTAACTATACAGCAATTAGGTTATGAAGTGCTATGCACCATATCTTATTTTGTAACAAAATGTTAAAAGCTTACAGGGGAAAGAAGTTAAATTGCTTATACAATAATACATGTATTTTAAGAAAAATGTACAGTAAACTTTTACCTGTTAGCTTGTATAATATACGTTAAATAAAATCTTCTTTGCAACTACATGTATTCCCTACATGAAATTAATGGTTTGATGAAAACGTACAGTTCAAACAGACTCTGTATATTTTATGATGAAACACTGATATCATCTTGAGCATTATATTATATAAAAGTGCAGTGATTTTCCACCTTATATAACAGAGGCCTATGAAAGGCCTTTTCCCAATTGAAATTTTCTTTAAAATATGCTGTTTTCCCAAAACAAGAGTTTTACTTCCCAAATAAGCAATTTTAGCAATATTTTTTCCAAAAATCAAGAGGTGAAGGCCTTTACCAAATTAATTGAGAAAATTAAATGAGGCCCTCTGCAGGGCTTTTTTACAGGTTGGAGAAGGAACAACGCCCTTAATATTTTTTTGGGAAAAATTATATGGTATGTTTGCAAAAGCGGAAGAAATAAACTTTACGAAAATTTAATATTGGGGAAAACTGCATGATTTAATAAAAATTAAAAGCCGCCATATAATGGCACTTACTATAGAAGGAAAAAGCACACTTCGATAAGTGAACAGAGATCGTATTTATGTAAGGTGGAATGCATGTATACAGATATAGCCTTAACCTAATGAATTATTTTTCCTCATGTTATATTAAATGTAGGCAAATGAAGAGTTAGAATGTGTGAAAGCGGAGGTAGCCCAGATGCATAAAGAACGTGAACGATACGAAGAGATGATGAAGAAAGCGTTCATGCGTGGAGTTTGCGCGCTTAATCTTGAGGCGATGACAATATTTCATAACAATGAGGAAAAAGAGAACAAAGACATAGGTAAACTTTTTGACATAAATTTAAAGTTAACAAAATGTGAAACTAAGGCCATGTGACTTGAAGTTGAGAAAATGTGAAACTAAGACCATGTGACTTGAAGTTGAGAAAATGTGAAAATAAGACCATTTGACTTAAAGTAAGAAAATGTGAAACTTAAAGACCATGTGACCTCAAGTAAGAAAATGTGAAACTAAGATCATGTGACTTAAAGTAAGAAAATGTGAAACTAAGACCATGTGACTTAAAGCCACTCCCCTCAGGATGGTAAAATGAAAAAAATGAAATAAAATTTCAAGTAAACAGTAAATACTCATCTAGTTAGGTTTATTGTATAAATCCATCATAACCAACACATTGATTCAAGAAAGAATGTTGACAAAAGCGTTAATATATCGGTTTTTTTCCATAATTTACTACGTTACTAATGCAGTAGCCAATATAAATAGGATAATATAATTCATTTAACACAGTCACGTGTCACAACAGTGGTTTGAAAAAATCCCTGTATCAGGTATGCCCGGGATCGTTTTTTAATTTTCGTCATTTATTATGCCCCTATCACATTTCATGCTAAAGGTTAAATCAATAAATTGGTCATCATATACATAAAATAATTAATCAATTATAATTTTAGTGCCATGAATTACTACAAATATATAAAAACAAAAGCAGTTATTCGTATCCTTATATGTTTGATTAAATCCTGGATTCCCTGCGTTCCGGAACAGAGGTCACGATATTGTCCTTTACGACCAAGTGATACTAGAAAAAAAAACGGACGAAAGAATTCCGTGGTTTAATAAAAGAACATATTTTCCGTTGGTGGAAAAGCCAACTGTTTGTTTTCAGAGCAATAATGTTAAAATATGAACATTTTGAAGTGTCATTTTGATTTATTTCAACTGTATTTGAGGGGGGATTTTGAAATATTAGCAAGACGGCAGTTTTTCTGCTATCTTCTGGAGGTCAAATGCTTTAAAGTGAGAAAATGTTAAACTAAGATCATGTAATTTGAAGTTGAGAAAAATGTGAAACTTAGCCCATGTGAATTGAAAATGAGAAAATGTGAAACTAAGGCCATGTGAATTGAAGTTGAGAACATGTGAAACTAAGCCCATGTGACCTGAAGTAAGAAAATGTGATACTAAGACCATGTAACATCAAGTAATAAAATATGAAATTAAGACCATGTGACATAAAGTGAGAATATGAGAAACTAAGACCATGTGACTTGAAAGTGAGAAAATGTGAAATTAAGACCATGTGACTTGAAGTTGAGAATTAAAGTTGAGAAAATGTCAAAATTATACCTTGTTTCCTGAAGTGAGAAAACTTGTAACTAAGACCATGTGACCTAAAGTAAGAAAATACGAAACTAAGACAATGTCATATTAATTTGTTTACCACTAAATTAGTATTAAAATAATAAACAAATCATCTCCAAAAGATCTTTTTGGTATTTTTTGTTTGAAGTAAATTAATTGTAGTTTGTAACATAGGCATTTAAAGCTACGTGTCTCCAGAAGAGCCTAAACATTTTGAGAAATTCAAGCTTGAGAAAATTGTGCTAAGATTTTAAGATAAGTAAAAAGATTCCTAATTCAAGTACAAATGTAATTTTTCACATGTTATGATTAATGATTGTTTTTGCAATATCTATCACCATTTATCTACTGCATTAGTAATACAATAAAAGCTATCTTTTGGTAATTTACGTGGATTGTAAGTGCCTTTTGCAATGTCTAAGTTACAGTCTTTGTTCACTTCACAATATATATACTTTTGAATACATTTTCAATTGATTCAAATCAGGAAATGTACAGATACCTGATGATATCAGTGAAAACATGAAAGGCAGTATACCAGAGAAAGATTACAGTATACCTAAAACATTACCACACGATCAACATGAGAGGATTGGAACTAGTGAAGGGTCACGACCTTCTACAGTAACACAGGGCCGACCATTGGTTAGTATAGTTAAAACTTTCTATTCCATGGAATTTTAAATAAGCAGTTTTAAAGGCGTTCACCGCAGTTTTCATACTAACATATAGGCAAAATGAAAATGTTTTTTAGAAATTTTGTAAGCATTGTGTGATCTAATAATATGATAACAGAAGCATTCAGGCAAAAAAATATTTTTGGGGTCGCCAAACATGTTTTTATCTCACCTGTCACAAAGTGACATGGTGAGCTTTTGTGATTGCTTTTCGTCCCGTGTCCATCTGTCGTCCGTCCGTTAACGTTTACTTTAAACAACATCTCCTCAAAAACGGCTAAGCCAATTTCATCCAAACTTCACAGGAATGTTTCTTTGGTAGCCAACTTCAAGTTCAACAAATTTAATTCCAAGCAAGTCATGGCAACCAAAAGAAAAATCATAAAATATCTTCTTTTAGAAAACCGAAAGAGCTAGAGGTTAAAAATTTGGCATGACATATCATCTAGTCAGTGTCTACCAAGTTTATATAAATAAATGCCCTGGGGTCAAAATTGGCTTCGCCCTGGGGGTCATTTATTTTCCTTATTTGTATATAGTAAATACTAAAAATATCTGCTTTTAAAAACCCCAAAGAGCTAGAGTTAAGATATTAAGCATGAACTATCTTCTAGTGACTGACTACCAAGTCTTTTCAAATAAAAGCCAAGAGGGGGGGGGGACATTGTTTATGTGTATAGTAAAAACTTGAAAAATCTTCATACAGCTAGAGCTTATATATTTATCATGAAACATCTTTAACTTGGTGTCTACCAAGTTTGTTCAAATAAAAGCCTTTGGTTTAAAATTGGCCAAGCTCCTGGGGCCTATATTCAGGTGAGCGATTTCAGGGCCATTATGGCCCTCTTATTTTATTTATCTGCTCATAAATATATAGTTATAGAGGCATCTATTAGCTTTGGTTGAAGTGGTTTACTAGGTTAATGCTTGATTTAAGCCTCCACAGCCTTGGTCACTCTGCCACTGAGGCAACTGTTGGCATTGGTTGCAGTTGTTTACTAGGTTAAATTAATGCTGAATTCAAGCCTTTGCAGTCTTGGCCACACTGCCACTGAAAACAACTATTGGCATTGGTTAAAGTGGTTTACTAGGTTAATGCTTAATTTAAGCATCAGCATCCTTGGTCACTCTGCCACTGAAGCAACTGTTGGCATTTGTTAAAGTGGTTTACTTGGTTAATGCTTAATTAAAGCCTCCGCATCTTTGGCCACTCTACCACTGAAGCAACTATTGGCATTGGTTCAAGTGGTTTACTCGGTTAATGCTTGATTTAAGCCTTTGGAACCTTGGCCACTCTGCCACTGAGGCAACTATTGCATCATTTAAAACCTGGTTTTTTGTAAGGACATGTCATGCACATCTAGATCATGTTTAAAGCAGAATGGCTGTGAGTGGTTATTTTCAAAATCACATGTCCCCGACTATTTGACTTTCAGCTTAAACTAACTCAAAAAATAGGGAGAGCTTTTTTTCTCACCCAGGCATAACATTTTGATTAAGTTTTGTGTGTGCAAGTTGGTTTCAAAAAAATTATTGAAGAGAAAAGTTTAATACTTCACACACTTATTTGAGAGTATAATAGGAGGTCACTTGTTAAGGGCCATAACTCAAACATGGATTTTGGCAGAATTATGGTCTTTTCTAAGTTTAGGATATTCTACATTATCCAGGCTGTTGTTTTGATATCAAATACTATAATAAGTCGAGCATGCTGTCCTACTGACAGCTCTTGTTACTGTATTATTAAAATTGTTGTATAGAATAGAAGATTGAAAGATTGCTAAATGAAAAGATTGTCTGTTCTTCCAAAGTACTAATCTTAGAGCAATTTTCATGGTTTTATGATGAGATTACAGTTATTCTCCTTTTATTTTTTTCAAAAAAAGTATTTAAACATAAGTACAAGAGGAACTTTTTCACCTGTGCGCGTGGCCTTCCACATTTCTAGAGTGATTTCAGCCAGTTTTTAGGCAGAAAGCTTGTCATGTGTCAATGCCTGTCTCGTGTATATTTATTCAAATTATTTTATTTTTTTCCATCCATCTTTACATAGAGTTCAAAAACAACAGGAAAACCAGGATTGTCAAAACATTTATCTACAAAGGTCACTTCAAAAGTTGACAGTAGGATGTCAAAAGGGGTGGGGTCACAAGTTTTAGCTCCGCCCATGACCTCAGTGACCGTAGAACGCCATCAGCCAGTCAGTAAAGTAAGTAAAGCACTCAAAATGACCATGAAACAGTTTGGATTTAACTCAATACAGGATTGGAGCTGTACCTCTAGATGCTTGCAGAAATCCTGATAACAAAATAGACAAATATCGTTTTTATGCAGATTTTTACATTTTTCATTCATTATCATACATAAATCTGTGTGAAAAGATGAATTAGACCTATAAAGGTTCATTCAATTGGGTAAAAAGGCAAGATTTTAGCATATTATCATTCGAGCGCCTTGTCCAGTATATACTGGAATACAGTATTTAGTGTAGTGCTCCAATCTTTTTTTTTGAGTCTCACTCAAACAGTTTTATGTTGTTTTAAAGTTCTAAAAGACGCCTTTTTATTCACATTCTGTGTTGATATTTAAGCCAAAATGAACATTTTGATGTAATTACACAGTATGATTACTTAAATTGATTTTGTTCTTCATAATTGCTGTGTCTTAGTTACCTCCCTTTGTTAAATATACTAAATAATAAAACATGCTTGAGCTGTCATGTTAGTTCCATGTAAGTTTATTGATATACAGGTACAGATATACAAGTCCTAATCTTGAATTTAATAAAAAATATAGTAAAAATTTTCATACAAATATTTGATTTGTTTGTGATAATAAAGTATGTTGTACAATATGGATGTAAATACACTTTTTGCTTTAAAAAAATCATAGAAAGAGATAAATACTGAATAAATGTAATCCAGTCTAGTTCACCAATACCAAATTAAACTACATTTTATGTTTGACATGGCGTCACATTACATTGAATTCTTCATATAATTTTCTTGTTTTCATTTGTTGATTAATATTTTGAAACAAAATGCAATACTTGTTTTGGAAAATAAAATATTGATTTGTTTTTACTTTTATATTCATTATCTACATAGATTTATGTAACTGAAAAATAATTATACATATTTTTACTTGCAGCAAACTATGCCACATGCCATTGCAGGGAAATACCCACGACAAACAGCTCCACCTAGTGACCGTAGAAAACTAGCAGGTCAAGGCCACCTGCCATCCAATATACAAACTGTAAAACATGTTGAATGATGTAATATACTGAACTCTATTAATTTGTGTAAATATGTTTTATCAAACTTGAAATTTGAATCTGAAGTTTCATTTTTTTCTCTTGCATTTAACATGTTGAACGATATACTAAAAAAAAATATATATAGCATGAGAGTATTAAAAGCCAATTTAGCCTCAAAATTACAAATATTTTTATTTTTATCTTTCAAAATTTGAGTAGCTTTCTTTATTGAGTATCCTTACAGGCTTTAATTGACAATTAAAATCCGTGGAATCCTGTAACAATTTCTAAAAGTGGTGGTGTGGCCGAATGGATTAACATGTTGGACTAGCAATAAAATGTTTGCCGGAGGCATTGGTTTAAACCCATTTCAAGGACAATCCGTTGTATCTGTGATGAAGGAACATTACACTTATTGCTAAGTGAGTACTTATTGGTCCTAGGAATGGATTCAAGAGAGTTTCAATATGCTTACAGCTGCCAACACAATCAAAATAAAATAAATTTGTATGTATTATAAAACTAAATAGTAACTTATTGGCCTTAAAGCTAGGCCATCATTGGCTTATTTTGTGTTATTTTGTGTTTTGCCAATATAAACGGCTATAGGGGTTTAGTATTTGAATTCAAAATACTATTTTGTTATCACGTTGCTACCTTTATGAGACGGTATGTCACATTCAGCACCCTATTCTTCAGGTAAAAATCATCTTGCATGTTCTCAGACCATTATTTTAACATGATTAAGAACACATTTGCTCTTTCTACAGGAAGAAAACAAATCTTTTCTGAGGCTTAATGATTTGCCTGTAAGAAATATAATCTTTTGTTAAGACATATTACATTTTTAGCTCACCTGTCACAAAGTGACAGGGTGAGCTTTTGTGATCGCTTTTCGTCCGGCGTCCATCCGGCGTCCATCCGTCCGTAAACTTTTACTTTAAATGACATCTCCTCATAAACCACCAAGCCAATTTCATTCAAACTTCACAGGAATGTTCCTTTGGTGGTCACCTTTAAAAATTGTTCAAAGAATTTTATTTCATGCAGAACTCTGGTTGCCATGGCAACCGAAAGAAAAAACTTTAAATATCTTCTTTAAATTTGAAAAACCCTAAGAGTTAGAGCTTAGATATTTGGCATGAAACATCTTCTAGTAAGTGTCTACCAAGTTTGTTCAAATAAAAGCCTTGGGGTCAAAACTGGCCCCGCCCCAGGGGGTCATTGATTTTCCCTATATGCATATATTAAAAACTTAAAAAATCTTCTTTTAAAGAACCCAAAGAGCTAGAGCTAAGATATTTAGCATGAAACATCTTCTAATAAGTGTCAACAAAGTTTGTTCAAATAAAAGCCCCGGGGTCAAAATTGGCACCACCCCAGGGGGTCATTGATTTTCCCTATATGCATATAGTAAAAACTTAAAAATGTTTTTTTTAAAGAACTCAAAGAGCTAGAGCTAAGATATTTAGCATGAAACATGTTCTAATGGGTGTCTACCAAGTGTCTACCAAGTTTGTTCAAATAGAAGCCCTGGGGTCAAAATTGGCCCCGCCCCGGGGGTCATTGATTTTCCTTATATGTGTATAGCAAAAACTTGAAAAACCCAAACTGCTAGAGTTTAGATATTAAGCATGAAACATCTTCTAGTAAGTGTCTACAAAGATTGTTCAAATAAAAGTCCTGGGGTCAAAACTGGCCCCGCCCCAGGGGTGTCATTGTTTTTAACTATATGTGTATATTAAAAACTTAAAAAATCTTCTTTCAAAAAACCCAATGAGTTAGAGCTAAGATGATAGCATGAAACATCTTTTTTTCTTATGGGTGTCTACCAAGTTTGTTCAAATAAAAGCCCTTGGGTTAAAATTGGCCCTGCCGGGGGGGGGGATCTATATACAGGTGAGCGACCTCAGGGTCATCACGGCCCTCTTGTTCTTTTTGATATTACAATTTGAAAGATTTTTCCTTTAAATTTTGTGCATTTGCTTAATTTACAAAAAAGTAGTCCTGCAAGATACCAGTGAGAATATGAAAAATATGTTTCACTGCAGTGAAAAATAATTTTTTAGGGTGAAAATACGGAAAATGAAAATACGCATTTTATTTCATCAATATTTCTCAATATTTCATTTATAAGTATATAATAAAGAAATATATATCATAGTATATAATATAAAGAAATATATTTTTAATAATGTTGCATGATTTGTGTACTAATGAACAGTATTTATTATAAAAAATGACTGCCTCTAACATCTGAGAATCATAAACAATGTTATATTATTTAGTTCTGTCATAATTATTTTCTCTTACATTGGAAAAAAAACACTGAGTGGAAACTAGTCGATGTACTTTAAGCAGTTGATTTATTCATTTGATGTTATTTGGCTAATTAAAGGGACTGCACTGAGGGTTTTTTTGGCATGTCCGATACTGGAAATAATCTCTACAAGATCAATATATGGAATTTTTTTTTGTTTGTTTGTTTTGGGTTTTACGTCACATCGACACAGTATAGGTCATATCGCGACGTTCCAGCTTTACTGGTGGAGGAAGACTTCAGGTGCCCTTCCGTGCATTATTTCAGGCACGAACGGGCACCTGAGTAGAACCACCGCCGTCCGTAAGCTAGCTGGATAGCTTCCTCACATGAAAGAATCCAAAGTCCCTGTCGGGACTCGAACCTACAGCGGTGAGGGGCAAGTGGTATATATGGAAATAAGTTAGTTTATTCATTAGATGTTAATTGGCTAATTAATGGGACTATACTTGTTTTGGACATGTCGGATACTGGAAATATTATTTTAAGATTAATGTACCCTATGACACTTAACACTTGTGTGCAAAATTTAAGATCATTCGCCTGCTCTGTTGTTTCAGAATAATTATTCAAATTATTAAACCAGCACGCCAACAGATTTATGCCTATTGTCATGAAAATTTGAATATGTATTTAACATTGTAATATTGCAAAGTTACCAAAAGAATGCAGTTTACACATTATCAATGGCACTTACAACACAATTAAATTACCATAAAGAGGTCACAATATGCAAAAATAATCCTTGCTGCATTAGTAATGGAGTAAAAAACCATAGTAATAAATACTCATTTTGAAATTTTATACTTTTCCTAAATCTTAGTACATATTTCTCAGTTTTTATTTTATCGAAATATTTTTGCTCATCTAGAGACCTGCAGCTTTAAAACTGGCCCAAAATTTAAAAGCTTTACAACGCTTTTTTCTCAAATCGGTCAAATATTAACACAAAAATATGGATTTCAATATATTTCAGAATACATTTCATAAATAAAATTATGTTTTGCATATACTTCTGTTCTGATCTATTTAAGAAATTCAAATGTTATTTTTTTTTTTGCTTTTTGACTTTTTTGCTTTTTGACCTCAGTGGAGTTCCTTTAATGTAATTTGTCATGCTGAAGCAAAATGTATGTACCATTATGTTAATAACATAAATCACATACCTGTGACGATTTTGCCACTCTGTAAATGTGGTATTGCACGGCCAGGCATATATTTTGACGTGACGTCATTTACATTTCATATTATAGTGTAAAGACGCGCTTAAATTAAGTGTTACGCTATTGGGACGTCAATGAAAAATTATTCTTTTGCACTTTTAATTTTGTGTTTGTGATATTTGTGAAGGTTCATTACTGAATTTATTGAACTTGATGAATAAAATAAGTTTTTTGCTCACCAGATGCTCGCATAATATAATATAGTTCAACTCGTGCAATTAATGCAGTATTGAACCACCACTCATTTGATATCATCCATTTAATAATGCATCTTTATATACATGTTTATAAGCAATTTAACAACTGCATTTATCTTTTCCTTTATATATCTGTCAAAGGCCTGATATGTAGCCTGTTTTAAAATAAGACAGATGGTCCTAATTAACCCTAAAATGCATACACACATAAATATACAGATACCGTTCATAAATTTTCGCACACTTGTTTTGTCTCCGCAAGTACTTATTCTATTTAACATTAATCACAAATTTGCATTTATGATAATGATTTTAGATAACTAAGGTTGGAAACTCTTTAACATCAGTTTTACAACGACATCTATAAATTTTAATGATTTCTAAGTATGTCTATTACTCGACTATCAAGCTGTGAGACTTATCACCGCTTTTATTTTTCTTATTTTTACTCATTAAAGCATAGTCACTGTATTAACTGTGAATTGTGATAACTATTTTTTATAATTTGTATCTGACATGTCAATGTTTTAAATAAAAGAAATAAATTAGTAACAAATTGTCTTCCTTTTTCAGACACTTAAAAAAGAAATTTGGAGTGTAATTTT